AACATTATTTCCTTCTTTTCTGATCTGATGCGAGGTAAATAATGAAAAATAATTGGTAAGTTAAGAGCAAATGCAAAACCTAAGTTAAAACAGCTCATTTAGTGTTACCGGAGATAGGTATCGATGAAGGTCACCTGCCTAGAGTAGGTGGACCAATAAAGCAGATTTTTGTCCAGGACGAGGGTGGACGGAAGTGTGAATGTGATCAGGTGGGCTGCACATCAGCCATACCTTCCTGACGCTGATTTCAAAGGGTCATATTCATTTGTATATTTACGCATCAGTTATAAAGCCGATGCCATTACTCTGTGTAATCCTTCATCCTTCATATAATGGGAATGCTCGTATAAAGATAGCAGTTAATTAAGGGAAAAGGTTTTTGTTATTGATATCCAGATGATTAATTATATAACCGAGGTGGCTACTGTAATTGAGGAACGGTAACAGCTGGCACAGGTGTGCATGACTTTGGAGAAGGGAGGCAGCATCTGAGGATAAACATTAGCTGAGAGACTAATATGACTCTGAGATAATCTCCGTCATATTTTGATAGTCTGCGCTGACTTCTCCTCAAGGATTCATGAAAGTAAAGAATTCAGCCCTGCAAAGTCCCTGCAATATTGACTCACTCATCCTGTGCCTGGGAATGCACACAAGAGGTTTAACAGTATGGGCTTTATCAGGATAGACCTCTTTTAACATGAAAGAATGATCCCTCCTTTTGTTCAGACATGACGCCAGTGAACCCATTTGGAAAAAAAAAAAAAAAATAGAGGAGCTGTATTGTTTCTTAACTCTATATTGCCTCATTTTTCCAGAACCAGCTCTCTTGTCTCCACAGAGACAATCCTTTGAGCAAGTGTGATAGCTTGATGCTTCCCAGCTTTACCCATCTGATTCCTTTTACGTTTCACTTAACTGATGAACTATGTTTTTTTCGTCTTGATGACTCTTACAGCAAATATGTATTATATCCCTGAAAAAAAGTTCCATGTGTCCGAAGTTTACTCTGTACACGTCATTGTTCCAAGCACAGCATGGATTGTCTTAGTTACTTGTCGCAGCAGTGTTATTGAGGATGGGAAGACATTCTTCTCTCTGTTTTAAATACAAGGCATATGGAACTGAGGCAACTTGCTCAAGGTTGAGTAGTTAGTAAAGTGGAACTTCGCCTAGGACCAATTTCTGTCTTGAGTCAGAGGCCAAGTTTTAAAGACCATACTCTCCTTGGAGGGACCCAATCCCCACTCACCATCCAGTCACCCCGAGTCACCTCATTCTAACTTTCATTCTTTGAATAGAACTTAAACTTTATGGTTGTGTTGTTGTTTTTGTTTACTGTTTAATTAATCCTCGCCTCTATCTCCTTTGCTAGAATGTCAGCCTGGGTGCAGAGACCTGTTATCTACTTCATCACTACGTAATAGCACCTAGAATAGTCTCTGGCATGGTATAGGCGCCCAATAAATGCTCGTTGAAGAAATGGGAACAATTGGCAAGGTGCTAATTTTCTGCTTTCTGATTGTTCCCAGGCTAAGGGAAAGACAGATTTGCAGGGACAAGTAAGGAATAACATGGAAAATGCTACAACAGAATTAGGAACACTGCCAAAGGAAACATGGAAGCTTCACTGAGGAGCTGCTCTTTGCTCTGGGTACTGTGGATAGAAGAAGGCTATAAAGAGAGCAGTGAGAAGTGGATAAAATCTCAGAAGCAAGAAGTGAGAGTTTGTATGGAGAATGAGGAAGTCATCCTGTGTATCTCACTGCAAAGAGGCACATCTACCTGGCCTTGAGAGTCTTCCTGCAGGGGTCCCAAGCTCTCTGAACTGACCATTATCATAGCCTTTGTTGCGTGCTTTATAAATTTTTATTTAGCTCTCAGTCTCCCAGCAGGGCTGTGGGATCTTTGATGCAAGGAACCAGGACAATCGGACAGTGAGCTCCTTTCAGGCAGGGATTCTGCCTTACTTATCTTTGTAGTCTCAGTGCTTCGTGTGGTGCTGGTAATTGGTGGCCCTCAGTACCTGTATAATGTAAAATAAATGTATAATGAATGAATGGGAGAATGACATGGCTTAATAGCAGTTTATTTAAAGAGTTTTAGATTTAAGTTGAGAACAAACAGCAAAAATAGTGTGGTCTTGGGTAGCAATAACAAAAGTATGGTATCGGATTTCTGGATATCTAGAAGCTTAGAGCTACAGAGATCGAAATAATGAGGAAAATAAGGCCGGTGATTTGAAATGACTTGCTTAAGATTCTACAACAAACTTGTGATCAAAGTAGGAACTTGAATTTAGAGATCGTGGCTCTCAGTTAAATTTGCTTTTTACAAGTTCAACTATATTCTCTTCTGGCCAGACCACAACCGTGTAATTCTGAACTCTACGCTTAAAGAAACGAATAGACAAAGTAGAATTTGTCCAAGGAAGGATGATGCAGATGTCAGGGGGTAGGGGAAACTATATCACACGAAGATCAGATGAGAACATGAAGGATATTTCACCAGGAGAAGAAAGCACTTGCAAAGGGGCCATGCAGTGAGTGGAGAAAACATGGTATCTGTTTTTAAAGTCTTAAATTCAGAAGTCATTATTCTTTTGCTCCAGTAAGGAAAAATAAGAGCCATGGGCAGAAACCACAGAGAAGTAAAATTCAGCTCAATATGAGAAAAACAGGTCTCAAAATTAGAATTGTCTAAGAATGAAATTCCAAGTTATAAGAAATGTGCAAGCAGAGGCTGGATGATTTTCTGTCAGGACTAGATTGTGAGTTGCTTTAGAGTAAAGATCGTGTTTTACTTGTATTTTCCTAAGATTTTGCATAGCGCTTGGCACATAGTATATGGGCACTTATGATTCACTATATTTCTTTTAAAAGGATTTCCTTCATCGGATAGGTGATCATGGAGGTGAAGAGGAATGCATTGTGTTATTAACTCCAAGGACTTTTCCAACACTCAGGTTTATGATTCTTTGATAAACATTCCTGCAAAGTAGCATACTGATAATTAGCAAAGCAAGTCATTTCATACTCTTAACAGGGAAAGGTCAGTGGAACTGTTTCGTTTAAACTCTAAGTTCTGTAGTATTGTATCGTTGCTCTTCCCTTGGGAGGAAGGGTTTGTCTGCCATTACCTACTGTCTTACAAAGGAGATCACCGCTAGTACATCTCTGTGCTTTTTAATCAAACTAAAGCTCCGTGTACAAGTTTAAATGGAGTTTGTTTTGTACAAGCAGCACAAGACCGATTTTTGGAAACACTTGTGTGATGGTTATGCCAATAGTTTCACACTTTTCAGAGGGCCGATTAACCTAGAAAACCAGGTTTTTCGCAGAGACCTAAATCCTATTTAGATCGTCCCCCCTTTAAATGTTTTAACAAATATCTTAAATATCACTTCAAGAAACTTATTTTTCACCGAATATTTTATATCCAGAATGTATTAATTTGATATTTATCTTTTTTTTTTGGGACACAGAAGTGGCGTTCCTCTTACTCCGTGCAGAGGTCATTTAAAGGAGACAGAGAAAGCTCTATTTAGATGTACTACATTAGCCACAGAAAGCTGAGGAGAATGGAGTCATAATAAGGCAATTATTTGATTCCTTATTTACTTCTTACTCTCAGAGAATACTCACATCTTATTTCTTTCCAGTCATACCTATTTACGTACTGAAAAATCCCTATTAACTTCCCACTAAATTCTTTCAGATGCTATGGGATTGATTTTTTTTTTAAGTTTATTTACTTATTTTGAGAGTGTCAGAGACAGCACGAGTGGGGGAGGGGCAGAGAGAGAGGGAGACAGAGGATCCTAAGCAGGCTCCACACTGTCAGCATGGAGCCCTGTGTAGGGCTCGAACTCACTAAGCACGAGATCATGACCTGACCCAAAAATCAAGAGTCGGACACTCGACTGACTGAGCCACCCAGGCGCCCCAGGATTAATTTGCTTTCTTATATCAGCGTATAAATATACTTAAAACATGTTTCTGTGTTTTCATGAAATAATCATCATCAATCTGGTTTCACTTCAAATAATGGCGTTGCATTAGCCATAAGGCCATTCGTAAGAAATTTGGTGGGGATTCTAACTTCTTTTTAAAGAACTCTATAATATAAATGCAACAAGGTGCTTCTGAGAATCCATGACTCTGGTGTTTCCCTTTTAATGGTGTTATTAAATTTTTCTCCAAGTTGTTAATTCCGCTCGCCTAAATGGAATAGATTTTGTGCTGTGTGTATTCCTGATATGTATCTCGTTCCAGATCCTTCAGGTATATGCACTTAACGGGGGGAGTCTAAGATGTCTTCCAAATAAAAACCAATATCTTCTTTCCCGCTTTTTTATGAGTTATAAAACACTTTCCCTCCCCTTTTTCTTTGATTTAGTTTATATGCCAGAGATTTTTCAGCTCTGGGGATGAAAATGGAAGACCGGGGAAGTTGATGAAATAGAGATGATTCGGAGATCTGAAATATTTTATCCTCACTCGATACAAAGAAAATTATTTTTTCTCTTTTCCAATACCCATCATTTCCCTTGATCTTGGAATCACTCAAAACCTAGCCACTGAGTCCTGTATAAACTAATGCTCTGTCTCAAGATGTGGGGAAAGATGAACTACTGGTACATGTACAGATTGTACTAGCTTGATTATATTTACAGTTATGAGATACCGCACATTTAAGAATGCCAATTTTTTCTCATCACTGAGTATTTATTATATATAACAAATACATGGGAAAGAAAAAACTATATTGTGTGATATAAATAGTTTATTTACATTACAGAAAAAACATCAAGACAATGTATACTATTTCAAATATATCCATACATAATCAAATATAGCTGTAGTACATGTTTTCATTGGTGTAGATTACCACAAATGCAAGGCAACATGTGTAGATCTCTTGTCTTATTCTTTTGTCTATAATACTGTATTGTGTAGTCCCAGCTCTCGGTAGTCCGGCCACTGTGCAACATGCTCCCTTTAGATTAACCTCGTGGATGCTCTTGTTGTGTTGTCTGAACTGTAGTGCCCTGTATTTTGCTTCTGTCTGTGAATTCTGTTGCTTCTGGGGCATTTCCTAGAAGGTTGGAAAGTTCACAGATCTTAGTCCAGTGCTATACCTAAAATTTGGTCCTACAATTACAGAGTGAAGTCACGGATTAAGCAAACTGTCGAAATATTTCAGACCAAAGAATTTATTAGCAGCAGAAGCTGGGATTATGTTGGAAGATTTTTCCTGTTTGCTTCTCCTTGCCACTGCGTTTAAGCATTTGTTGAGGAGAACTGAGGAACAGAGGCAGAAGTCGGGGAGGAACGCGGTTACCTAGTCTTGCTCTGCTCACTCAGTGAGGCAGAAGAATGACTCAGCACAATGCGATCAAGCAAGTTGTGAGCTCATCTCCTCTCACTTTAAAGGTCTTCAACAATTTTGTATTTTAAATGTCCTAAGGATGAATGTTATATTGACATTTCAGTGCTACAAGTTTAAATTCTATCCCACCAGAGAATGAGCCAACTGTTAATATCTGATATGTACTGAAAAGAGATATTGTTCCGGTCCAGCCTAATATCACTTTTACATATTAATACTCTCAACTAGAGACATAAAGTGGGACCCGTTATTTAGCTTCTATAAAAAGCTAAATTTAGTCAAATTATCTGAAAAGCTCTGGTCTGTCTGGTGTCTTTTCTCTTGTAACAAAAGAATGCTTTGACGATGCAAATAAGAACAACGATGTAAAGTTCATATCAAATCCTATTATAGTAAGATGGGCATCGGGGATTAGATATTCATATGTATGTTCATACGTGAATAAATATTTCAGAATATATATTTATATTTTTTCCAGGGGTGTGGCAGATCTGTCAAAATGAACGTGGAGCCGAAAGTCGCATTCCCAGCAAGTCGGAGCTAGAGATAAAAAGATTAAAAATCCATCTTCCTAACAGGGCAACTCTTTTCATTCCAGAACATGTCTCTGGATGTCTATAATTTTAAGACACATGTTGTATTTAGAAGGAGGACAGATGTTTGACTAACATAATAAAAACAAGGGGAAGCAATTAGAAAAAAAGAAAGCGGGAGGAGGAGAGGAGAGAAAAAACAGGAGAGACCAGGTGATGGAGAAATTAAAAAAAAATTGAAGAGAATGAGCAGATCTCTGCTTGGTGCAATTTTATAAATATTTTAGCAACTGGGTATGTTGGAATGGGTCTTGACAGGCAAGCATGGTCAAGGTGGCCAGAAAAAGGGAGGGTTTGGGTGACGGGCAGATGGCCTCGTTGGAAAATCTGGTTTTGGAGCAGAATGTTCCCATGAGAATGAAATGAATCCACACTGGGAAAAGTGTGGCTTGTTGACTAGTATGACTCCTGGAAAGACTCTGGAAGACTAGGACATCCCAGGACAGATTTATAAAACGTGTTACAATGACGGTAACTTAGCTCACGTACTCCTCCTCAGAAGTAAACAGAGAATAGGTTTTGTTTTGTTTTAACGTGGAAAATGAAAACGGCCATTTGCCTGGAAAAAATGGCTTCCTCTAATTTGGAGCTCAGTTTAGGCTGTCGTGAGCATCAGAACACACAACGTCATGACCAACCGAGGGGCAGGATGAGCAGTGGTTAAGGGCGCAGGCTCTTGCACCAGGCAGCCTGGACTCCAGAGCTGTCTTTATTGCTCATGTGTAAACTTAGCAATTTGTTAGCTTCTCACACCTCAGAGCCTCTGTTTTGAAAACGGGGATACCTGTTCCTTTCTCACGTTATTAAATATGTGTGTGTGTGTGTGTGTGTGTGTGTGTGTGTGTATGCATACGTGCACACCCTGGGCATTCCAGCTGTTCTTATTATGTATGAGAACAGGACTGTGGCTAATAACAAACTTGAGGACATATGCTAAAATATTGAAAGCTTTGCATTTTTGTCAGTACAGGAAGTAGCAAATCCAACAGTTATGAGATCAGACCTATTAATATGAATTTGGTTGCTCGTGTACATTGTGTAGATATCAGAAGGCTCAAGCCCCTTAGAGTAACATGGCACCATTTCTTGTGTTTTAGATTCTTTTCTATCTTTCCTTTATACTCAGTATTTTTGGTTTCCTGAGTTATCTTTATGTTCCCTAGAATCTATTTTAACATAATCCATTGACTCACTTGGCATCTAAACGTGAGAGTCTAGTTGATGAGCTCAACTTGGCTTCGAGCAGCACAAAGCTCCAGTCGATGATCTTCCCTTAAGCTTTTAGGCCCAGAAAGGATTTATGAACCATATTTTGTCTTTTTCAAGAGCAAATGCCACACTTGTCCTCAAAGAAGATAGTGCAATACAGCTACAGAGATGTATTATGGCCTTTATTTTCTAAAGATATGATGCTTTATTTTATTTTCCTGTCTGTAGAAAAATAATTTTGGAGGAAACCTTCTGATTTACTATAGAGCTGTATAAATGAATGAAAGTTTAAATGTCTTGTGAATTTGGCAAAAACCTTGAAAAACTTTCTTGGAACTTTTATCTCAAGGAGGATGAAATCGGGTCAGAAAGAAGTATCTTCAATCATATGGCTGGTTAGACAGGGTGTAAATAGTACGAGTTTGGTTGCCATGAATTGACACACTGATAAAATTAAGCAAGTAAATACCTGGCCTTACTTCCTTTACCTCAAGCACAATGTCAAACATCACTGATTAACCATGATTTTTCTCTCCTGTTGAAACTGGATCCAGAGGGATCTCTCTCAGTCTAACTCTCCAGGAAACAAATTACCATTTGATTGTCCTGGAGTTTGATATAAATGCTCATCGTCATATTTGCTGCCTGTTCCCTATACCAAAGGTTTTCATGTACTGCGACATAATCTTTTTAAATTATAGCCGCTGTCTTTGAATTTTGTGATTAAAAGCTATTTCATTAACTTAAGACAAAAATGTACTTGTTTACATCAAATATGTTAAAAATGATTATATCTGTGAGTTACACTTGGAAATAGAAGTACCACAAATGAGAGCTATACATTACCACGTTTCTAGGCCTTGGAACCAATCTATTCTGACCTCTTTTGGCATACTGATCTGAGTAAAGAAGGAAACACTGGTCATTTCATTAGTCTGTTTGTAGTTTGAATGAGGACTGACTTTTTATAGCTAAAAGAGAAGAGCAGGTTTAAACAAAGATTGGCATTATGCTTTAAAGAAAAAAGTATCTTTGCCTCAGAAATAAATAATCCTCATCAACGTGAAAAAATAAGGAAAATAATTTGTACTACTCCAGCATGAAAATCGATGCTATTCATATGCTGTTATGATGAGGAAATTGGACTCCAGAGAATGGATGACCACAGAGGCCACGAAGGGACTCACATCTAGAGTGAACTGTTTCAGGCAAGGAGAAACAACATATTCCTTTATCTGGGTGGCCATTGAGCACAGGTACTGACCTGGTGATGCAGAGGACCACCACGCAGATGACAGCAATCTGAATGGTTCCAATCACAGCGGCGATTAAGACATACTGAAATCGTACAGGGCCGGGGACAACATACAGTACACTGTAGTCCTTTTTTTCACAGTGTTGACCAGTATAACCAGCATCGCACCTGGAAGAAATGAAGTGTCCGGTTACCTATAGCTGGGAGACTCATTTTTATAGTTGGCCCACACCCATTTATCTTCTTGTTTCTCTAAAAAAAAAAATGCTACTTTGTAGATATGGTTTTCTACTACTTATTTTCCACAAGATCTCCGTGTGTTTTCGGTTTCAAAAACATGAGGTTTTTCTTTGATACTCATAATAAGATTTTGAAGATAGGAGGGTTGGTAGGTGATGATGATCATGCGAGAAGTAAGAGATGTCCAGAGGTAATTGTTCTTCCTATATATTTTTGTTCAAGTGAGCCTCACATTTTCTGTAACTTGCTCTTCAGTCAACCTAAGCCAACATGATTATCTTGAGAAAAGGTTTGTTTCGGAGGATGGAGGTAAAAAACAAGGGCTATTTATTTATTTATTTATTTTTGGATAAAGCATTCTCTATGCTACTGTGAGACTGATTGTTGAAAAATATTTAGACCAGAAGTACAACAAGCAACGTCTTTAATCTGTTGATCATAAAGTTGTCTACTTATGTTAGTTAAATTTCAGTAGGAAGAAAAGTATGGTGTAGGCAATATAGTTCTGTAAAATAAACCCATGTGCTATTCATCTGAGAATGAATGCTGCTTCTCACTCACTCAGCCCTCATCAGAAAGCTCCAGTAGACCATCTCTGGGTTGCAACTAGCAGTTGACAATGGAATGAAGAACCAGTTCACATAACAACACCAATGAGGATCAACTTGTCATTGGCTTTGTGCAATTATTTTAGTACGTCACGTGGAATTTCTACATCCTGAGGTCTTTCCTTCTGCCTCAGAAGGGTTCAGTAATGGGGACCCTGGTAAGGATAAGAGAGCAGCAGGAACAAATCTCAGTTTTGTTCACTCTACCTGGCTTCACTGGAAGGTAGGTGTTAGGGTGTTCAGTTAAGGAAAACATAAAAGGAAGATAGTTCTTGGCGGGGGGGGGGGGGGGGGGGGAGAAAGAGACACAGAAAAAGAGGAGGAGGAGAAGAAGGAGGAGAGGGAAGAGGAAGAGAGAAGAGAGAGAAAGTCCTCTCACTGTATAGCAATACACAACCTATTTCATCATATGCCACTTGTACCTTCCTTTATAAAAATGCATTTGTTTTTTAAGTTTGGCTTTACCATCTCTGAAATAATTATGTTCTATTCATGAATATTCAGCAGATATTTATATTTATTAAGTAAATTCAGACAAGGAATTTCTTTGGGTATCAACCTACTTAGAATCTGGGGAGGTACAGCTAATAATCTCACTATACAAGGCTTCTGGACAGCAGATCCGCAGAAAAGAGTATGTGTCTAGCAAAACCAAGATTGATAATATTTATTAGAACACCTGAAGGACTCTGGAAAAGACCTCCCAGAAGTGATCATGTTCTCTTAATGTATAGTCAGTCCTCATCCATTCATTTCAGAAATACTTACTGAGCACCTATTATGTGTCAAGAGCTATTCTATGTCCATGGGAAAGAGTGGTGAATAAACCAGAGGAGGAGGTTGAGTTTTTAAGAAGCTTGCAATGCCAAAAGTACAATTTAAAATTCTACTAGAAGAGTGTACATAATAATATGTTACATCGTACTCCCGTGTGTAAGGCACACCCATTTCAGGGTTTTCTAGTGGGTCTGTGTGGGGGGCGAGGGGGAGAGGCAGCGGAAAGTTTTGCTGAGGATCACTCAGTCAGACAGAATGCCATCCAATTCTCTGCAAACATCCAGAATTTAGTTTTATATTTTTACTTTCCACATTTTAATAGTTAAAGAGTGAAAACATTACCTGCAAGATGGCTCCTGCATATTGATAGAATGTTCACACTTTCCATGCATGCAGAAACCATTGTAATGTTCTGGGCAAGGTATGTGGTGCTCTCTTGCACTTTCTTCTAACTTGTTAGCATTCTCTGTGAATACAGATAAAAGCAGGCACCCCTTGTAAATACTTTCTTAGCCCAGTAAGACCAACCAGGACATTAAGAAGCAAAGCTATAGTAGGCAAAAATATTTAAAAGGGCAAGAACTAAAAGGCTAAGCTTCAGAAGAACGAGGGAGAAAGAACTGAAAGACAGACATCTTTACAATTGTGTTTAGAGATGAAACTGCAAAATTACCCAATGCTTTTCATGCTTTTATGCAATTTCTTCCATCTTTAATAGCCAGTGATGTTTCTATGAGTTGTCAGACAGCTTTAATTTTCCTTGTGTAGAGACTGTACATTGATCATAAAATAATTCAAGAAGAACTATCCTATTTTTTGAATTTCAAAGCCCAGCATAATGTCCCTAAGAGTAAATTGCTGCCGTACCTGGATACTTTCTCAGTGTGGGAGCTTAAAAGTCAAAATATGGCTGTGTTCAGTTGTTAAACAGACCTTTCCCAAAACCAATGCAAACTGCAACAAATGTATTCTTTCAGGCTTTTTTCATTTACTGTGAATGTGCATTTTACTAGCATCCATACATTTTCTTATTGCCAAAATAAAGCTATCGAAAGAACAAACGTTATTTCAGAATCATTTATGTAGATACTAACACAGTACATATTGAATGCTGTGAGTGTATTCCAATGCATGGTAGCTGGCCTGTGTTAACAACGTTATGTGGAAGTTAAACTTACAATAAAGAAAAAGTTTGTGTTCTAAAATGAACCCTTTCCTCTATCATTAACGAGTTTTGTTTTCTTACGTTTCTACGAAGACATTAAAATACTTTTTCTGACCGTTAGCCCCAATACATTTGCTTGCTATTTGTAATACCATCTCTAAATAGTCTTTGGAATATGTTCATTTTCTAATACAAAGTTTTGTCTTTTTTGAGTCTTTTCTGTAATCTGTGGCCTGACCTGACAGACTTTAAAATTGTTGCTTAAGCACATGAAAACCAGAACTTTTTGACTCAGTCTAAGACGCTCTTCCATCCCACTGGCATAGAAGTAATGGAAGCAGTGGTAATGGAAGATTAAGAATGAATTACTATTTTCATGAAATAGATTATTTCCTATTATTTCACGTAGAGGTATAGCTTTTATTACAGTGCATCCTTATAGTTTTGTATTGACGATCACAGATGATGCGTATATTCATCAGAAGAAAAAATACTTTCAATATTGGTGAATCAGACAAATGCATTGTTTATGTTTAAGCAGAGCTGTAAAATATCTACTATACACCTTTTAAGGTCTAGGTGTCCTCTGCATAACTTTAAAGTTTGAAGTATATCGTCAAATATGTTAAGTGTTTTCTTGCGTGGGAATATTTGTGTACATTCGAATGATGGGTAGTATTTCAAATCACATACTCAAATTAATGAACGATTTGTCATAAGCTGCTAGAGAGACTGGAGATTACATTTAAATCATTCATTTGTTCTATATTTGTGTCTCTTTACCTATTTAGGTGATATTTTGTTTGCACTGTATCTCTTATATTTCTACTTTGGTGAATATAGTTAAAATTAATGAACCGCTTCCATGGAAAAGACGAAGAATATACAAAACCTTCTCTTTTGTCTTCTCCCATTTTTCCAAGCTACTTTGGAATTGTGTCATGGTGTTTTGGGCACACAAATTAGAGCCTCAGTGAGCAAACACACAAAAGAGTGAAATAAGTAATGTTGGGTGCAATTTCCAACATGGGAATATGTGATTAAACTGGAAGCAGGCCAATCATGGTATTTCGATGTACCTTGGGAATGGCTTGTGGTCATTCATAAATCCATAGAGAAGATTAGGCTCATTTGCTGATGCTGCCAGGAGGCTACAAGCTGCAGTGGTCAAACCATGCACCTGCTGTTTAAAGGCGACTTTCACAGTGGGCTTTGCCAGCCAGCCCCACTGCTTATGTAACGAACCAGCACTGATTCTCATTCTTAGTTCTGGATCTTCTCCCCATGACAAACTATTCAACACTTGTATTCAGTGTTTGTTAGTAACTCTTCAGTGCTTCTGCACACCTGCACAGAGGGGAACTTTCTGTAACGTCCCTAAATTTCAGTTATACATCGTGATTTCCAGCCAATTTTTTGAACACATCTTATTAGGACTATTTTTCTTTTTGTCAGTTGCTGAAGAAGATCAAGAATTTTCTTAACTCCAAATCCGTTTTTAGGCTATTTTATTTTCAACTCCGTCCCTCACCCCATTCTGCTTTTGTTTCTGGATTGATACCATATCCACAGTTATGAACCAAAGTCCAAGGGCAAAGTAAGAGCTTGTTTGAGTTAGACTGTTGCCTTCGTGTAGTAAGAACCAGATACTTTCACAAAGTTTATTACCCAGATAGGATGATCACGTGTGAGGGGAATAGTTTCTACCATAAAATCTGCTAATTAGTTCACACCATTCCTTATGAGCTTGGAGTGCTCTGTTATGCTACTCATAGGATACTGTCAAATGAGAAAGTTAGAGAGATTGAAAATAAATGAGTAGAAGAAATGATCCCTGAGCAAGAAAATGAGGAATCATCAATATATGTCAACAAATTTATAGTCAATCCAACCAAGTAAACCAGTTGATTGAAAACCTGAATGTATAACCACTTCTAGTAATGCAATAGACATATTTTAGAAATGAGATTTAAGTATATTAAGAAGAATAGAGACACAGAAATCTAATATTCCGAACAAATATGTGTATGGATGATAATATTGGTGATCCTGATGTTTATGCACACAGAAGCATTTCAAGATTCAAAAAATATAAAAATTACGCTTTGGCAGTCCATATGTTTCCTACAGTGGCTGACAATTTAGACGTCAATTTCTCTGTCCTCCATTGAAAAAGAGGTTTAATGTAAGGGTTGTGCTCTTTCTGCTAAAAGAGATAGTGACAATGGTAGAAACTCTTCGTGTTTTTGTTTAAAATCCTTAACTGATTTCCCACCCAATTGTTTACAAATGATTTATGCTGAAAGAGATCCGGACCCTTTTAAGAAACAATTTCTGGTATAATCTGAGTTACCTGTAGCAGTTAACAGGGCTTCATACCTATTGCTAGTCACCGCTCCAGTCAAGAGCTATAGAGGTGGGTTGCTCTAAAGCACAGCTGCATGTATCATTTCTGTCATTGTGCTTTCAGAGAAAGAGATGGGTGGGGGGGGGGGAAAGA